TTCCATACTTTCTGTGCAAATTTAGCTTCTGCAATGTCATTATAATAAAAGTTAAGCGAATAGAAAACGAGGAAATGTTTTAAAAATCACCCTGTATTTGAGCTATCGCAACTTGCGCCGAGAGCTATTCTGGGATATGTTAAATCCATTAGAATTCTATATGTCAAAACCACGGCAATCGAATTCAAGCACTAGTCTGGTAAACGGGGGCAGATTAAAATAATTAAGTCCTCACACAATACTCTGTTCAGTCATAATGCGATCAGATAATTTTAGCATTGTAGCTGGCGCGAAAGCCGATGGATTGGAGGTTGTCATTTGGAAGATTCATGAACACCAAGCATGATGGGTATTTTATACCTATCGTAATAGGTATGAAGAGACCTATCAAAATAGGCCTCACGATGAGTACCTATGAATTGATCTCGGCATACGGAGCCTGGCAAATTATAAATCTATCGCCTCGTACCTATCATGGTAGATACCATGATAGGTACGAGCTATCAAATGATATGTTCTTGCATATGGGCCCCTATGTTTTCTTTCGCAAAGTCATGGAACAATCTGTATGATAATCTTTTAGCATAGTCTGATGTCATACATCTACTCTTTTGTCTGCTCTTTTCTTAGCGACACGTGAAAGAATTTCGGGGGTTAGTTGTGAGCCAGAAACAGGCGCGGACGCAAATAAAAAATTGCATTTGCCTTCTTCAGCAAACGAGATCATTCTGCCTGAAAACATTTCAGACAGTAAGTTGATTTGCGATGCGATTCGTCGAGGTCGTAGCTCTTGATAAGCGATTTCGTGTCTCCGGCCGTCACTGCGAATCAAGACAGCAATCCCTTCAGCGCGCTTAGCGAACTTGGCAAGTCGATTTGGATAGCGAACGAGAGGAAAGAGTAGAAAGGAGGGAAACTGGAAGGAACTCCGACGGCTAGGTGGACTCATTAAATCCATTCTTTGAGCTTCATAACCCCCGTTCATTAAGCCAGTGGAAGAATCGCGTTCATATCGGGGTTCATTGTACAATAGCACATTCCAAGCAGCCTTGGGTTGAATCGCAATGGATTGTCGAGCCTGGTGGAACCGGCACTAACCATGCCGTACCCCCTGGAGTTGGCAGCACGTTACGCCCATTCGTGTGACGGCCATTAACCCTCAGAGAGGCCAAAATTTAACATCCCAATAGTCAAAGCTAACTGGCACTGGTCAAAATACAAGCGGGAGCACCTCCTGCTCATACACAGCATAGAAGAGCTCGTATTCGGGAACGTGGAAGACACATTCGATGCTGTGGCTTGATGTAAAAAAATTAGGAAGAACTTACCTCATGACGATTTCGGCGTATTTCCCACTGATGTTCCTGCTGCTCTCAATGAAAGAAATGGCCTGAGACCCGCAGGAGAAGTCCATCCTCGGCACACCCTTCATCATAGCCAAGTGCAGGATCGGGACATCCCCCGACAAGACCTGCAACACTGTCCCGTCCGTGCTCCGTGCCTCTATCGCCGCATAGATGTAAATCCCATCGGAAAGGGATGAATTAGCCATCTTGTAAGTCAGGTGGGAGACCCTAGTGAACGATGGGGTGGTCAGGTTCAGCAACTTCTGGCACACTGCCCCTCCGTAACCCAATGGACACAGGCACTAAAAAGACAGAGAACCGAACAATGTCACTTCAGAAGAATCGATCGCTCGCGATAGTTTGTGACTACATCGCTGCTGTCTCACCTGAGGCACTTCGTCTTCGGATCGATCGAAGATACACGTTCCTCCATTTTGGCACAAGACATCCGAGCATGTTTGTTCAGGTAAAATTGCTGTCGTGGTTGTCAGAGTCGTCTGAGTCGACTCAGCTGGTGTTGTGGTGGTTGGCGATTCTGTTACAGTTGTGAATCCTTCAGCATCCAAGGTCTGGTTCTCGTAAATGGTCGGTTTGAGCGTGGTCGTGGAATCGACGTCCTCTAACGTCTGCATGGTCTCGGTCTCTGGAGACGTTGCGGTGCTGAACAGTGTCTCGGGAGGAAAGAGGTCGGTTGCATTCAGTGAAGACGGCGATGTCGACTTTGTCTGGTCGTCTGTCTCCGTCTGGTTGAGAACGTCTGCAGGGGATGCAGATGTCTCACTTGGCCATGCCTCGGTCGTGGAGGGGAGAGAGTCCATCGTGGTTGCAGGTGTAGAGTCCTCCGGAGTCTCTGTGGTTGTCTGGGTCAGTTCCATCAGAGACGTCATGCGTTCCGTCCCGCTGCTGTCCACGATTGACAGGGTCTCGACTTCCGTCGCCACAAAATCAGTGGAGCTGATGTTTTCGAATGATGGCGTTGTGTCGGTCTCGGAGGTCTCCGAGTCGGCTTCGGTCTGCGTGGTGAGCGAAAGCCCTGTTGATTCATGATCGGTCGTCGCGTTCACCGTGTCTTCCATCGGTGTTGTCGTCGGCACGCTTGATTCCGTTTCTGTAATGTTTTCTGACTCGTCAGTTAATTCTGTAATCGCGTAATCGGTTTCTGTGTCCGTCTGCTCCGTGAACGTCATCTCTGTAGTCGTTGTGAATTCTGTGATGCTCTCGGCTGTCATAGTGCTGTCAGGCTCTATGACTGTGACAGTCTCTGTCGTGATTGTTGTCGTGAGATTCACGTCCAGCGATTCTGTTGCCGTTTCCGATGATGCGGCATCTGTACGGACAGTTTCTGTCTCCTCTGTGACCGAGGTGGCACTTTCTGTCGATTCCGTAATGCCACTTTCTGTCGATTCTGTACTGCCACTTTCTGTCGATTCTGTGATGCCACTTTCTGTACTCTCGCTCACTTCTTCGGTGAAATCTGATTCCATCGTAGTAACGTTATCTGGGATCCCTGTGATGGTGACTTCTGTTGGAGTGACCGTTGGTGTTTCTGTACTTGTCGCTTCTGTTTCTGAGACTTCTGTTGTTGTTTCCGTGAAAGTTTCCGTCGATTCTGCAGAAGTTTCGATAATCGTCAACGTCGAGGTTGATGTATCTAAGAGGGAGGTGTCTGTTGATGGCATTGTGCTTTCCATTATGACCTCTGTTGTCAGGTTCTCCCTGGATTCTGTAAAAGTTACATTCCCGACCTCGTCCGTTTCTGGCTCTGCTGACGTTGATGGCATTGTCGCTTCCGTTGTTGACGTGAAACTGTCGAGCTCTTCGGTCGTGGAAGTTTCGACCGAAGTGATCTCCTCTTTTTCTGTTGCTGTCTCGTTTTCCATCACAACTGTCATAATTGTTTCTGTCGATGCGATGAGGTCTGTTGTCTCAGTTATTTGTTCTGTTGCCGTGATATTCTCCGACGATTCCGTAGTTGATGTAATATTTTCCGTTCCTACTTCCTGTGTGGTCGCGATATCTGTCACATCTGAATATATTGAAGTTTCTTCTGTCGACGACGTTAAATTAACCGATGAAGTGATTCGAGTTTCGTCTATTTCTTCCTCTATAGTGACATTGTATAATTCTTGCGTGAAAGGCTCTGTGGATCCTACGAATTCCTCAGCTGTGCTATACATGTCGAACGTTGATGTGCTTTCAGCTTCTGTCCTGTTGTCAAACTCTGCCTCAGCGGTCCCTGTGTACGATGAAGTGGACTCTGGAGTGAAAACGGTCTTGTTCAGGAAACCCTCCGTTTCCTCAGTGTCGGTCGAGATCGTAGTTGAGTCCATCATATCGGTTGTGGTTGTCACGTTGAGCTTTTGGATGGACTCGGTCGTGGAAGTAAGCACTACTTCAGTGGCATTGGATTCTTCTGAAGTTGCTTCCTCTGTCAGATTCCATATCACAGATGATTCTGGCAGAAACACTGTGGACACCACCAAACCGTAGTCGGACATTAAGTCTGTCGATTCCCAGGATGACTCCTCGACCCTCTCGGTGGGTTCCACGTACTCGCTTGACGGCACGAATTCCTCGGATAGGACAACCACGGTGCTAGTGAGATATTCACTTACGGACGGAGAACTGATATGGAATGCACTGGAAAAAAGATCCTCGGAGTCGAGGGTGGTGGTCGTCATGACGTGAAAGTCAGTGGTCGACCATTCCAAGAAGACGGTCGAGGAGAGGACTTCGTCATCGAGGAAGGCGCTCGACTCCAGTTCCACTTCCGCGGAAACACTGGGTAGATCGAAGCCCGTGAAGACGGACGTTGGTGTGGGAAAGTCTGGAGTTGTTGGCCACGCTTCAGTGCAGTGAGGATCTTCAGAACCCGGGACGCATTGGCAAAATTCCCCCAGGTATCCTTGTGGACAAATGCAACTGTAACTGTCCACTCCGTCCAAGCACGTCCCTCCGTTCTGGCACCTTAAGTCAGAGAGGAGAGAGGGTAGCCCGCTCTCTGCGTATTTCGAATCGTTCTTCTTCCATGTATCTGGTAGCCCCAAAACATTCAATACTTTGGCCTTTTATATTTTCTCGTGGTGTCGATCAACTTTGTTCAAGAATGTCAATATCACCATTCACAGGAAAGGGAAACTATCTTAGTGAAAATAATGGTATGAAAATTCTCCTGATGCTCGTCGAGGCAGAAAAAGGAGGAAGCGAAATCAATCCCTCAACGTACCGCCTTCATTCAGCATGGTTGTCACCGAAGGGTATGGATACAACTTTTTTGCCGCCCATCCAATCCTTCCTGGCTGTCTCTGATAGATTGTGACAAAAAACTGCTCTTTCAAGCGAGAAAAGCGCATTGCTGAATTTGCAGAATTCCCAACAGGAAGTCACCGTAAACGGGAATAAATCTCCAGTTTCGAGCTCGCACCTCGATTTTCCATCCAGGATGACAGAATTTGGAAGACAGGAATTTTGCGACTGGGCATTTGAACAGCTACCAAGGATATGCGCTTCATTGGATTGAGTCTGCATATGTCAGATGTTTAACTTTTAAAAAATCGTACCATTTTCATATTGAACAAACTTATATATCTTCGACGAGTTCCATGCTGCGCTGGAGGGGATTATCGCTTCATCCAATGAGAGAAAAATTTTACTTTATGTCTTGAACAAAATTGAACACCTGCGAGAACATACTCGCAGAAATGGTCGAATATTTTTTGGGACACCTCACAAAAAGGTAGAAGTAAGAACAAACCTGTGGCCGAGGGCACACTCATCGTACTGATTTTCGCAATGAGACCCGTGATAATCGGGGACGCAGTAACAGGTGTAGGTGTCAGTGCGGGGTTCCACGATGCAAGTGGCATTGTTGGCACAGGGGTTGCTATCGCACAGCTCCACCACCTCCTCGCACAGCTTCCCGCGTCGGACTGCATCCAGAAGCAAATTTTCTATGAAATATCCTTGCACGAAAATACTGGCTGTATCAGATAAACCGTCGCAGGACGCCATCGTCTGCCTCGAATAAGGTAGAGCTCTGAGAATCCCCGTTTCAATACGAATTGATGTATTTGAACGGACTCTACGTCTCTGCTGCAGTTGCACAGCATTGTTTTTGGATTTACCTTTGTTACTTGAATTCTTATGGTCTAAGCGTTGATTGTGGTAGAAACAGGAACGTATACCCTGCTGTTATCATCCTGGATTCGTACAAAAACGGGATGAAGGCACAATATTACGAGAACAGCATTGTGCCAACTTACATGGAGGACATGCACAGAGGAAATCCTTGTCTATCCTGAGGCAAGCGCCGTTGTACATGCAGGGTTGCGATGCACATGGATCGTATTCCTCGTCGCACTCCATCCCCGTCCAACCTGCACGAAGCAACCAGGAGGAACTTCACCATGGATTCACTTGAGATATTATTCGTTCCTCTTGTGTCTCATGCCTATTCGTTAATGAGGGAAAGAAAGTGTCTGCAAGGGTCGATTGTCGACGGCAATCCAAAAAGCCTCATTAACGAGGAAGGATCGTTATGCCGGCACGAAATTGCATCATTATGTCAATCGGCGTCCCAGGAGGGATTTGTCTCTTCCCCATGCAATATTTATTCCTGTGACAATCGCTTCGATCTAGCAAAGACGCGGAAGTCCGGTCGCATTCATTTTTTTTGCATTCATCACCGCCTTTTCGACCCTGTGAAACGTGGAAAAAGAGTTGCATGTTGACTTCACTTACGGACAAAAGCGATTGAGAGCTCTGGAATCGCCCCCGTTCAATGCCCACGTCATGGCCACATTATGCGGGTATGCATGAAAAGCACATACGGTTAGGCATCGACAAAACTGTCACATGTCGAGTGGAGCAAATCACCTCTTCTGCAAGGATTGCGATGAACGGTGACACGCAAAGGAATGCTTCCCATACGTTAGCCACATCGGGAGCTTCTTTATTCGGAACGATATTAGCAATTGGCCGGCACGAGGCTCTTCTCATACATGCGTGCAATAACTTTCAACGTGTCACACTACCCGTATTTCTTTCAGTGGCAATCGGTATAAAAGCCTCCGAAAAAGCGTTGGGTAGATTTTACTTAAATAGCGCAATCGAGTTGTTCGATCGGGAGAGCTAAATAATTCCTGTGCTAGAAACTTGCGGCTGAGACTTCATTGCATGTTCCTCATGCAAGGAAGGCTGGACGGGAAGGAACGCGATTGAAAGGCGTTCAAGAAAGGCAAGAAACGCATTAAGGGAAGGAGGAGGGAGAGGGTGAGGGAAGCCTATTTGGTCGATAAGGTCCCCTCTCCAATAAAACCTTTCCCCCTTCTCTACCCCCGCTTTTAGGGATAGGCATGAGCTCCTCTCTCTCTCGTAAGGAGGGGATTAAAAAAGCTGACCGGGGGCACAGATGCAGAAAAACGTATCGCCGGGTCCGTCAACGCATTCCCCGCCGTTCTGACACCGGTGCTCCGTCTTGTTGCACACACTCACGTCCGTCTCGCACAGATCACCTGGGAGGATGAAAAAATTGTAGATACCCATGATGAGATGAAAATTTTTGAATTTTAAGGTAAAGAGAGGAGGATATTGACCTGTGAATCCGGACGGACAGACGCACTGGTAGAACGAGATCTGATCGATGCAAGTCCCTCCATTCTGGCAAGGGTTTGAGTAACATTCGTCGATTTCCGCCTCGCAAAACTCGCCTAGACGCATACAATATTAATACCAAGACTGTAAAATGCAAGGCTCGTGTTCGAGGGTCGAATCGTTTCCCATCCGACTCTTGGCATGTTCACGGGTCACTTAAGGTCCCTTTGAAGGGTACATTTCCTGTTGCTTCGACAGGTAATATATATTTTCCTTCATTGCACGGACACGCACGATGATGATGTTCGAACGGGATTAGTTAGAGAATTGCTATAACAGGAACGTCTGCACGCATCTTTCGAGAATACCCCCAGCATGATACGATAATCTGGGGGATCGCGACGGCAACCGCACAAAGGGAGCACGAACTTTTTACTCCTTCCTAATTTGGGACCCGGAAAGGAAAGAAAAGTAGGGAAACGGACCTGAATACCCCGGTGCACAGGTGCAATTGGGTTTGGCGATGTCGTCGGTGCACGTGGCTCCGTTGAGGCAGGGCTCGTTCCAGCATTCGTTCCAGTTACTCGAGCATCTGTTCCCGGTGAAGCCGTCCTCGCAGAAGCACAGGAAATACGTTCTGTTCAAAAGATTTTAACACCGGATTAGCTTCGATCTCTGTGCAATCCGGCAGGGTGGAAACCTTGCCTGTTTCTGTTCCGTTCGGCGAATTTCATTCAACCCCGTTTAGAAACACTTAGCGCTTGATTAATGTCGCGTTTGTCATGCTACCTATGGAATTTAGGCTGGTTTAAGTGCCCTATCCCCACTGTTTCGCGCCTCAAATGACCGGAAGTCCTCACCAGCTGAAGGCGTTTCATATATCTGATCACTTTAGTTATGTGACAGTTGATTAATCGGGATGCTTCACGCAAGGATTGTTCGTGAGATTTGCCTCAGATGGAGAACAGCTTGAGAAAAGTGAAGTAGAATTCGGAAAATGAATATACGGTCATATGATCCCATCACGCGTTTATGCCCGCTCAGGGTTTTGAGAAGCGGAACCAACAGGATCAGCCTGACTCTTGCCGTGATCCGGGTCGAGCCGGACCCGCACTTTCCTTAATCATCTGGGCCATAAGATCGCGATGCTCACGAGTTCACAGACTTTTGTAACTTTGACATTCCTGCGCAGAGCATCATAGGTGAAAATACGAAATTATGAGTCTCGTGTTTTTATCGGTCCCAGCTTCTGACTCTCATGCCATTACAACAACGCTAGAGACAACCAAGGAATGAACCGGACACCAGTCAGGTTTGGTAAACTTATTTATCCTTTTTGCTGGGGTTGGAGGGTAGCTTGATTTCATGCACTCGTGGAACTGCGCCACGTGCCCCATATCAAATTATTCCACATATATAATATGCAGACACGATTGTGGATTTTTTGAACGCTGAAGTTTCAGCTAACTCATGAAGGATACTAAAACTTCTACCTTCCACAAAGATAGCATTCGATCCAACATTTCAGATAACTCCTCGAAACATCAGCTTTGCACGTACAGCTTGTAAAATTTCCCCATCTTCGGCAGTCGATTGCAAGAGGCACTTTGAAAAAGTAGGCGGCGAAGGCGAGGACTCACCCGTTGATGTCGTCGACGCAGATGCCGTGCTCGCACGGGTTACTCAAGCAGGCCAGTCCCCCATTCACGCAATGCACCCACGAAACGAGGAGGGCCAGCCGCGAGAGACACCAGCCGGTCCCCATCCTTCTCGGTCTCGATGAGGTCGAGTCGGATCGGGTCGGGTCGGATCGGGTGGGGACGGATCAGGTGATGCCTTGGGGTGGCATGCCGGCCGGTGTGTGCCATAGCCGGGTCCCCGTCATCGAGTGAGAGAGATCCATTCTCCCCTAGCCAGGTACATCTACCTTCCTACCTGCATGCTTCCCTCTGCTCCAATCGATGACCTACTGTCTCTCTCTCTCTCTCTCTCTCTCCCCCCCTGCATGCATAGATTTGACCTGAGATGTAAATTTCGCGCTTGCATTCGCTCTGACTCGCGCCGTGCAGATAAGCCCTTGGTGGAGACTGACCGGTGAGAGAAAATGACTTTCCGGCTCCAGATTCCCCTTTACGATCTGAGAAAGTCGTTCGTTTCGAGAAACCCTTGCGATAAAAAAATAACATTTTCATATTATCCAATTTTCCCCACAAAATTTTCTCTTATAGCTCTGAGCTGAAGAACTTCATCGGATCAGGCGAAGGCTTTCCAACTCGATGGCACATTTATTCGCTTCCAGTAATATTTCCAGGGTGTTGATTTCTTACAGGTTGGCGCGTACTCAAGCATGAAAAAACATTACAAGACCTTTTGGTGGAAAGGCGGAGTAATCGCTCGCGTACATTCGTTGGATTACCATCTGCGCTATCCATGCTCCCCCATGCTCCCAATTGCGCATGTTTTCATTTGGGAAAGGCACATAGTCCATGTGCACACGGCAGACGCTATCCCCGATTGTCCGTTTGCGCGCGCGAGAAGTCGAGAGGACTTGAAAGTGACGTCCGAAGACACATTACTGCATGACTATTAGATGTGACGTTCTGTGTAAGAGAGGAAATGTCAGTCCTTTCGGCACGAGTCCATTGTCATAAATATGAAAACCATCCGAATCGTCACCCGAGAACTAGGGAAATGTTCCTTATTTCCGTGATAGAAGCAAAAAATCTGCATATGATTTCCCCGAAGTTGTTGCCTGTCCGAAAGAACGCCTGTCCTTGCGGTCACGTTCTCCGATAGAGGAACGGATGCGACTGCTCTGGTCTCTATGTTTTCGGACCGAAACATAGTACTGCAGTTTTTCTTGGTTCGTTTCCATGTGATGAAGGCCGAAGAGTCGTATCCATGGTTCGTCCATTTTCGCAGCCAGAATTCCCTTTTCTCTTTTAACCGGTCGGGTCATGTCGATGGGCCGTTTTCTTCTCGAGATCGTGCGAGATGTGCGCAAATGGATCCGTGGGGATGAAGATGCGATCGAGGGCATGATGGGGGATACGCGATCGTCTGTCTCGGCCATCGGGGAAAGTCGAGAAAGGGAATCACCGACATTTACTACTTCTCCGGATTGTCGCTTGCAAAATAGGAAAAATGACCCGGTGGCAACACTCGTCTCCTTTATCGTTAGTTCTGTCCAGCCTTCCCGATGTCGACCGCTACGTCCGAGCGCTTCAATAAAAGTTCCAAGCGTTGTGCTGGACTCAAGGGTAGAAGGGAGGAGGGCAGGGGGGGGGGGGGGGGGTGTGCTCGAGTACATTTCAATTTCGACCAACGATTGCGTGTTTGGTACCCCTGAGGTGGGGGGGGGGGGGGGGGGGGGGGGGGGGGGGGGGGGTGTGTGCTCGAGTACATTTCAATTTCGACCAACGATTGCGTGTTTGGTACCCCTGAGGTATACACCTGTATCTGTTCTGGGTCATTCACATTCATTCAAATATGACATGTTGCAACGTATTTTGTCATTTTCTCCTCTGTCATGCCGCCGAGACTTCCTCGTCTCGTCCATCTTGGACGCATCGACATTCAGAAAATACGAGGGTGGTTCAACACTTATCTGCACTTTTCATTCCTGAAAACCTATGGTACATCTGATCTCTATCAAACTACGCATACTTCTCGAGGTATTCCCTCCTACACGGACGTACTTGTCTCATCGCTTTGGCAACGCCCGAACGCCAGAGACATTAGAATGTTCGTGGTCGAGTGTGCAGCCACTTCACCACTTCATCATTGCCCTGAATTTCTTCGGCCGAAGCGATGCGGAATGTCGTCTTTGCATGCTTGAGCGTTTTCATACTGACGTTAAGTGATGAATCCACATTTCATCACTCGTCAAAATGCAGTTGAGGATGTTGTCTTTCTCTTAGCCATAATTGTTAAAATGGTCCAACGCGGCGCTCACTCGGTTAGCCTTCTGTTCGAATGTCAGTTCTCTTGGCACCCATCTCGCAGTCACCTCTTTGAACTTAAAGCGAGTGTGGAAATGTTTTCGACACTCCCAATGTTGATGTTTAGTTCCGTTGCTAAATCTTGCACGGTGACGCGACGATTTTCCAGAATCAATTGTTCAATTTGCCGGATATTCACAGGATTCCCAACAGTCTCGGACGGATGGCCACGCTCAAGGAATCGTCAAGGATTCTTGGCCGTCGTGAAATTTCTTGCACGATCAGATACACTTCTCCTCTCCAGATAGTCTTCCCCGAACTGTGCTTGTCATCTTCGAAAACTATTAGCCTCCTTCACATTCTCTTTCCCGAGAAACTTTATTATATAATGCTGTTTAACCCCGGAGGATATACCATCAGACGCCATGTTCTTCACACTCATTTGCGCATGCGCAAGGGTTGCCGGTCTTGGCATAAATCACATTGAAGATTGGGGCTATCTGTCATATTAGGCTTTCTGACTTTTTTCGATCTATTTATTTTCTAGAATAGAAAGTGCTGGTAAGTATTGAACCACCCTCGTAGATCCTGAAACGAGTCGACGAGCTAGGTGGTATATGCCTTTCTTTTCTCGCGATAATAGTAAATACACCCTCGAATTTTCGTTTAATGAGGTGATTCACCTGGTTTGAGCCCCAAATCACCGGGTGATTTACGCCAAGCACAGGGTGGATGAGAATAAATAAATAAATACCGGTAGGATCCCATTTTTTTATTTCGAGAACTTCACTGTCCTTCCTTCACGGGAACGATGGGAATGCAGCAATGCGCACTGGAGAAGCCGAGCTCGCGAGACTTGGTCTCGTTTCGGGGGCATGCCGCTTGGCCCTGCGAGATGCACCAGCCCGTCATCAACCGATTCGTTGGACACCTGGAGAAAATGGGGAAAGAGATCAGGTTTCTTCTGAGAACGTAATCTGTCTCGTTCGATCGGAGGGTTACGGCTTCGTGTGGGACAAATGGAAAGAGTCATGCCGTCATGGCCTCGCTGCACGAAGGAATCTCTCGTGAACACAGAATATGATCGCTCTATGACGTTTCCTTCCCAGCTTCATTTCTCGTTCTAAGCCATGTTGGCAACGGAATCCATATAATGGAATTTGTTGGAAGCCAACAACTATGAGGTGAATCTTTGAAAAGAATAAGAAACGCTTTACTCCAGACTCCCATCTGATGTTTCAAAGAAAGCATATGACATTCTCTGAAGGCGTACATTTTAAATATTTAACAATATTCATCGAAAATAAAATTAATATAATCTAGCTATCCCGGTCGTCTACGCGTACAGCATATGTAACGTGTGCAGTGATACCATTATCCTTCCTGAAATTCTCACTTCCCCACATCGGGCCGGAATCTTTATTTTATTTTTTTTTGAAACAGATAAATTTACGAAACAGGTACCATTCACACATTGCATTCCGGTAGTTTTGCCAAGCGCACCTCTGAATATTACTGAACTATAAAAAAAAGAATTCATTCCATGCAACTTGGTCATGTGAAAAAATGTGTAAGACAGAGAAACTAAGGAACGACGAAAGAGTGAACTAGAGTGCCAGCCCAGAAACAGATCTGCCATTCCACTGGCCTCTAGACCGCTGGAATTATCTTCTTCGCTGCATCCTAACCACCCAA